CGCTTTGCCTCGGAGGCGGCGGCTCCCTTGCCTCTCTTTTATGGGTCTTCTAGGAGCGCTGTACGGGAGTTACCTTACAGCAGGGTAATAGGGGAGAGTTTTTTTTTTGTCTCTACCAACAAGACGCGGGCATTTTCTGTCGCGGCTGAGCGGTGAACTGAAGGCAGAATCAAAAAGAGCAACAGTCACTTTCGCCTGTTCTGTGCATGGGTGTGTTTATACGTAGGTGTCTTTTCATCTGCAATGTGTTACGCTGGTGAAAGTTTGAGGCTCCCCATGCTATAAAGAATGAAATCAGAAAGAGCAAAGCGTTTTTTTAGTTCTCTTTGCCTGCAAGCGATTTAAAACTACACACACGTACTGTTTGAGCCTATTGCTGCTAACTGCAACAATTAAAAGTGCGCTGTTTGCGTACTTGTGCAGCTTTTGCAGGGTACCAGGTACGCCTTCCAGGTTGTCACTTCCACATCTTGAAAAAGTCCTGGTGTTTTCTGTTGTCTGTGTTCCCTTTTTTTTTTACATTTTTCAGATAACACAGTCTTCCCCAGTCTCTCTTCCCTGTCCTGTGTAGAGGCATTATTCTGGTTTGGTTTTTTTTTAAAAAAAAAGTGTTACTAAAATGTTCTTTGTGTTTAAGCTAGACCATAGCTTGCTTTTAGGAATTATCTCCTACTGCTTAATCAAGTTGTGAGAATGTCTTTATCTTTTTTTTTTTTTTTAAAAAAAAGGAATTAGCATCCATTTTCACCTGTTAGAGGTCAGTAGGACTTGATACTCAGTCTTACAATTTTAGTCCTTCTGTGCAAGGTTGTTTTGATGTGTTGCAAGTAATTTATATAAAGAAAAATATTTTCACGTTGACATTAGCTACATCAAAAGGCAAATTTGCTGTAGTGACTCCATCAATTAAAAAGTACTTGCCTACAGTAACATGACCTTGCAAATGACATCGATAGTTAATATGATCGTTAGTCATTAACAGTATTATTATATTCAAAAATGTAAATTTGTTGCCAGAATCCACATATTTACCACTTTGCACGTTTTATTCTTCAGTGTTTTCACATCTTGTATAAAGCGGTCAGGTAATTTTCATCCTTTAATCTTGTACAGAATTATTTTTAGTTTGCTTAGTTTGGTCAAACGGACCTGAGAAACAGATAAGTTGTTTTTTGGGTTTTGGTTTTTTTTTTTTGTTTTTTTTTCTTTCAGCGAATTGATCTTTAATTCTATAGTGACAGGATGTAAACTACAGAAGTCCGATGGAAGTGGTCTCTGGAGTGTACTCATTTTTTGAATATACCAATAATCGGAAAAAAAAGTCCCATACGTGTCCCACGAATTTAAATTGGAGGTTTCTCATATGAGCAAGATGTGGCAAGGAATAAACCTTGTTAATACGTTTTTGTTTTCTTCTAGATTTGTCGGCATTAATGCATCTGACATAAACTACTCCGCTGGTCGATATGATGCCTCAGTTAAGCCCCCATTTGACGTAGGTTTTGAAGGTGTCGGTGACGTGGTAGCATTAGGGCTCAGTGCTAGCGCCAGTTATACCGTGGGTCAGGCCGTGGGCTATGTGAAGGCAGGTTCCTTTGCTGAATACACCGTTGTGCCGGCCAAACAAGCAGTTCCTCTGCCCTCTGTGAAACCCGAGTTCCTTACTTTAATGGTAAGCGGCGCTACCGCGTACATCAGTTTGAAAGAGCTGGGAGAGCTGTCTGAAGGCAAGAAGGTTCTGGTGACGGCCGCAGCTGGAGGAACGGGCCAGTTCGCTGTGCAGCTTGCAAAGAAGGCAAAATGCCATGTAATTGGAACCTGCTCCAGCGATGAAAAGGGTGGTTTTCTGAAATCCATCGGCTGTGACCGTACGATCAACTATAAAGCTGAAAGCGTTGAGTCTGTTCTTAGGAAGGACTACCCCGAAGGTGTGGATGTGGTGTATGAATCTGTTGGGGGAAAGATGTTTGACTTGGCTCTTAACTCCTTGGCTACCAAAGGGCGCCTGATAGTGATTGGGTTTATCGCTGGCTACCAAAACCCTACTGGCCTCCAGCCCATCCAAGCGGAGTTACTGCCAGCAAAACTGTTGAAGAAGTCTGCCAGCGTCCGGGGTTTCTTCTTGAACCATTACCTTTCCGAATACAAAATGGCTCTGAAGCACTTGCTGGAGATGTATGACAGAGGAGACCTGGTTTGTGAGGTGGACTTTGGAGACATGTCTCCGGAGGGCAAGTTCATTGGCTTGGAGTCTGTATTCCGTGCTGTAGATTACATGTACATGGGAAAAAACATTGGAAAAATTGTAGTTGAATTACCTCACTCTGTCAACAGTAAGCTGTAAAAACAGAACAATGATATAAATCAGAAGAGAGAAAATGGGCACATTATGCCTCAGAATTACTAGAAACAATTTCTTTTTTTAAGCTTAGTAATGGATATTATATTAAAAAACAGCTTTAAGGTGTTAATAAAAAGGTTTGCGTTTTTTTTTCTTTTCTTAAAAGTGCTTAAAGCGCTGGCTGTAGCATGGACTTGATGGGCCTGTGTTTGATTCTGTCGCTTAGGCTAGCACGAGTCAAGACATTGTTCTCGACAGAGTAAGTCTCGATGCAGAGGCAGATTTAGTCTGTCAGACTGGTTTGATAATACCTTATATATAGTTCAGCGCAGAAAAAAAAAAATTCTTTCAGCAATTTTGATTCCCCGATTTAAAAATAAAATTGTTAGAACAAGACCAAGTAAAGAGCCATATCTTGTGGTTGCTCTATTAATCTCTTGAAGTTTCTGGAAAAAAATTACGCTCTTCATTTTTTGTCACAAACACGATAATCGTAATTCAGCTGCATCATGGATCATAGTAATATTCCTTGACTGGTTACACAGGGAACATTTATCCTCCAATTCTGACATGTCAGTAATATTAAGAAACGCAACTTGACTTTTTTTTTTTTTTTAATTGTCTTTCGTAACTATAAACAACTGTGCAAATTTTCTTTTAAATCTTTAACTGCAAGTTGCAACATAATCTCATTTTCTTGCCTTTTCATTTACTACTGTTCTTGTTTACTGTCTGGCCTCCCCTTTAGTCAGCATCACAAGATTGTTGGGAGTGGGGTTTTGAGCCGTGCTCATGCGTATTCAGGTCCTGTATATTTTTTGAAGATCTAATAAAGTTAAAAAAGCTGTTTGAATATTTGTGGCATTTGTTCATACTGATACGGTTCTTGCTGACTAGCTCCTTTGTAGATAATCTCTGTGTTGTGGAGTTCTTTGACCGACGACGATTCTTGTTGTGGCTTCCCATAATCAGGCTGCTGCTCCTACGGTTACCCAGTACCGCTTCTGCGGGAGCCCTTTCACAAACAGCCAGGCCACTTCAGACCTACAGCCACAGCGCCTCGTACACCTCCTGACGCTCAGCGACAGATTATCTAGTGGGTGCAGTTAAAAGGTTTTGCAAAGTTTTGAAAATTCTTCCTCACTTAATAGATACTATTAACTGTACATGCAGTGGGAATTCCCGCTGGTTGTCTAATATTTTCCAGAACAATAAAATACTTTAAACTATGCTTGCTCTACATCTTTTTTTTTCCATAGCAAATGCTTAAGATCTTAAAGGCTGATTTTGCCACATCTTTTGAAATCATATACGTTTGTCTGCAGTTGGAGAGATGGAAATTTCCTAAGATCATACACCTAATAATAAACGTAATGATAGACTGATAATGTCTAGAGGTTGACGGAAAATATCCAGTTTTGGGCATTATTCAGGACTGACCGTACATGATATTTTTAAAAGTAACACATAGGAAAAACTTTACTCAGTTGTACAGGCAATAGAAAAAGTATTTTTAACTTTGATTTAGCGCATTTTTATTGGACCTTTTTAGTGCGTATGTCATCAGCATCCTAAAGAATTGTGTGCACTAAAGATCTGTCCCTTTTTTTGGGCCATGCCTGACTACTGGGTTTAGTCCCACTTTGGAGGATTTTGGGGAAAGACAGAATGGCTTGAGTCTTTGTACGATTTCTCTTTTACTCAAGCCGAGGATCAAACCACTATGATTTTTGTTCTCACCAAGATCTGCTGTTAGAAACATACTTCCTCTTTCCCCTCTAATATTACAAATCCTATGGTGGTTTGTGTGTTTTGTATAATTAGAAAGGTGTATGGGCCTTCCAGCTGGATGCTAGAAAGATGCAAACACCCGAGTATCATACAAGATCAGAGCATACAAAGTTCTCGCTATTTTATTCCTAGGCACATGGTTTCTTTTCTTGTTCAGAGATCAGGCGGTGCCCTTGGTCAATAAATGCAGCTTTAAAAAAAAGGCTGTCTGGGATGCACTAGGGCAAAATAAAAAGACGACAGTTGCTTGCATCTGTGATAGGCACAGAAGAGTTGCATGGGTAACAATTTCTCAAATTAAGTTCCTGCAGTCAGGTGCCAAAACCCATCCAAGTGGCCCAATTTTCAGAGGTGTTGATCACTGCCAGTCCAATAGATTAGGGTGTTTCCAAGGCAGTGTGGTGGCATAAATTAGTTCTTGTAACAGGATTCTGTTTGGATGTACAGCATTCTACTTTCCTTTTAATACATTAGTTCGTATATAACATGGAGTAATGCAACTGCCCCAGGCTCTTTCACAGATCAAAATACGGGAGGAGAGGAACCTTTGGAAGGTTCACATATAGATATACACATATATATTCAGACCTGACATTTTGTTGGTTTTAATTTTGGCTTCAAGCTCATTATTTAGCACTTTCATACTGATTACAGTGTTAATAGAAAGTTTAAATTTGTTATATGTATAGCCAGTGTAGCCCTTTTGGTGTTTGGGTTGGGCTGTGGCCATTGGGCTTGTCCTTTTCATCCAATGCCAATAACATAGGTTAAGCTAAAGGGGTAGCTCAGGGTATACACGATTGCTCTTCCATGAATGAATCCGGAATGAAAAAGTAATTTTTGTTTTTAAAGCTACAGCTTCTATCGTTTAGATTGCTGAAAGAGAGCATTATCGACGGGGAGAGGGCGAAAAGTGTTTCTGAAACATGCAGATAAGGCTATTCTGCTGAGATTCATAATAATTTTTGGTTTGCAGGGGGGAAAAAAGCCAACTTCTCTTTATTTAAAAGTATATTCTGCAGACTTACAGTTATGGGAGCAGGGCTGACTTTGAATAAGTAAGCTATGATGGATTTAAATAATGTTTAAATATTAGATGGATAGGAAAATGTATATGGCATGCACACACTGAGAGGTTTAAATGATGATAGGACATTGAACATACAAGGAAAAGAAATACTGTAGAATCACAGCAAGGGATTAATAACAATACACTTAATATGCTTGCAGAAAAGGTGTATTAAAAGCTGTGTGCACAGTGGGGACTTAAATGATTAAAAATAATAATACATTTGCCTGGGAAGTACTAAGTATACTATATGTAGAGAGCAGGGATTTAAATAATAATACTATTAATAATAGCAGCTCATTGAGATGTGGTTGCTAGCACTACATCCTAATTTTACCTTTCTAAATGAATTTGCTACAGAGGAATCTGGCATTGTTTGCTGAGGCTAATAACAGAATTTCCCTTTCCCACACACATATGCTTCCATGGAAAAACAACAAAGAACTAGATGAAGAGCTGGCTTTTTTCCTGAGTCTGTCACATGTGTGCATACGCACGCGCACACGGACACACACGTACTCGCTCTCTCCTGGCCTGCAACCCTCAGCACATTTTGCAGATCTGCTTCCTACTTAATTGCTATGCTGGAATCTCCTAATACCTTTCCGAGTAAAGTTAGATTTCTACCAAGCCAATGCATAGTTTGCTAGGCATTTGTATGTGTGCGTATGTGTGTGTAGTGTGTGTATATATACACACACACACATATAAATTGTATATATTTAATCGCATTTGTATGTGTGCATATGTGTGTGTAGTGTGTGTGTATATATACACACACACACACATATAAATTGTATATATTTAATAAGTGGGTGTGAATAACTGCTGCGTCATGTAAATACATGTAATTACAGTCTCTCAAGGAAAAGTTTGCGGTGGAGTTTGCAGATATTATATATATTCCTGCTTCTGTCTGAGGAGTAAAGAAATTTCTCTGCTGAATAACTGTTAGTATCTATTTTACAAGATTTACTCATTTTCAGGTACCTAATGTAGCTGCTAGCATGCATGCACAACAATACAATTTATATGGTAAATGGAACCAAATAACGGCTTCACTGAATGTTATGGCTGCACTGAAGGGAAATGTCACGGTAAATAGCTGCCAAATTATGGATCATGCCGAAGTGTCACAACTGCACTAAAGACAAATAGCACTAGAGGCTATTGCCACTGTGACGCTTTTGAGTTATGAAGAAGAGGAGCAGCCTGATGTGAGCCTCTTTGTGTCCTCATTATAGCAAAGGGTTACTGGTGCAGCGTACAAGAAAACCTAGTCCTACGTGGTGGCTAGTTATTAATCTGTTCTTTTCGAATCTAACAGCTGTAGCAAACCAGAAAATCTTTTCCTTGCTTTATGAATACGTATACACACACACAAACAAAGAAAAACCTGCAGGTTTTATGAATGTAAATGTGTACGGGAAATGACTGGTAATGGAAAAATGTTGTAATAAAATAATCTAATCAAAGAATATTATTAAATTTAACATCGTATGTGTCTGAAAGCTTTAGTTGCTTCTTATGCAGATAGATGTGTGAAATATAAGCAATAATGCACTTTCTCTCTTTGTAAAGACTTGAGTAGTAAGGACATTACCAACTAAATTGCTTCTTCTAAACTGAAGTGTGTCCCGGTTTCTTTCATTTTAATGGGAGGGTAATAAAGATGAAAGACTAACATTTTAACTGATGGATCCCTTAAGCTACAGAATCGAAATTTATTATGTTTTGAGGGAATATGCTAAATCCTGAAATGTGGAAAGAAGCAGGGAAATCCCAGGTAACATAAAAGCAAAGTAACCTTTTTTTTTTTTTTTTTTTTTCAGATATGACATACTTTTATGAATGGAAAATGACATACTGCTCTTACTTAGGCTGAGAAAATAATACTGGTTTCTCTTCGGGGCAAAAAAAAGGGGGGGGGGAGATATTTGGAGAGAAAAAAAAAAAGATTTGAAAATGGAGGGCTATTGCTCAGCAAGTGGTCTCCTCTTTCTAGGATCACTTTTTAGACCCCGCCTGCAGTGTTCAGGGAAGTGAGTTTGATGCTCTGCACGCTATTGTACGCACCGCAAACGCACCATCCATAATACAGCACAATTGTCAGTCGCTGTTTTACAGAGGGGCCAGGGCTGAA